TTATTACAAATTGTATTTAGGCAGATCATCAGCTTTCATTGAAATTCAAATATTCGATAGTGATTGGCTCAAGAGCTAATTACATTGTCTACGCTGAGCACAAAACCACCCACCCACATACTCAAAATGTGGCACTTGCTGATGAATAATGTTGAACTCTCTCAATAATATTAACTTAGAACTAATGTTTGTGTCGCAGTACCATTCCTGGATTGGTCAATTTTAATTTTAATATTCATTTTGATTTATAGAAATGTACATAACGACCACAGCTTTATGTCTTTCACTGTCTAGGGTAAAGGTTAGAAATTTAGATACACATTTAAATAATATGACCAGCAACAGCTTACACTGATCCAAAAATGTCTGCTATTTGCATGCAGGCTCTTTATTCACAAAATGAACATCCCCTTTTGATTGGATGAATTATTCATGAGACTTAGTCACATACAACAGCAATTCTGGGGTAATTCCCACAACTGTATCGTATAAATTTAATTCCTAAAGATGTTTTTTTCCTGTAGGTGTCAGCTATGGATTGATATTCGGCCCTAGCGTATCATTTCTAGGTCAGTATTTTCAAAGACGTCATGCTATGGTCAATGGTATAGCCTATTCTGGAGTTGCGTTTGGTATAATCGTATTATCTCCATTGTTTCAACGCTTAATTGAAGTCTATGGCTGGAGAGGGTCGTTAATGGTGCTTGGTGGGATGAACCTTAATATTTGCGTCTCTGCGGCGTTATTCCGACCACCTGCTACATGTACAGAACATCAAGAACCAATAACTACATACGAGGAGTACGCGAAATGTGGATCAATAAGCCATCTTTTTGATTGGTCTTTGTTGTGGACCGATTGTCGTTTTCGCTTTATTATTCCTTATTGTATGTTCATAATGGGGTTCGGTTACTACGCTATTATAGTCCACTTACTGCCACGTGCTGTCGCCGCAGGGATTGAAATACACAGTGCCGCTTATCTAGTATCTGCGATGGGTGTGGCGTCATTGGTGGGACGTTTAACACATGCATGGTTGCTGCATACAGTATCAGTTGTGACTGGTCTACAGCTGTGTGTAAGTGCAATGGTGGTTTGTGGTTTAGCAACTCTAATAGTGTGCTCAGCTACGACCTTTGAACCCATGATAATTTACTGTGTTGTGTTAGGTTTATCATCAGGCACTTTCCTTCCTGTCATTCCGGTGGTAGTACGGGAAATGCTGGGAAGTGACCAACTCGGTGCTGGATTTGGTTTAGCGAATTTTTTCATGGGTATTGGTGGTGTTCTTGGTCCTCCAGTCGCGGGTAAGTGCTTATAACTTTTGACATTCAATCATAATTTTTTCGGTTTTAGAATTTGTGATTTGACAGAGAAATAACTTGTGTAATTATTTGTAAAGGTACAAACATCTTCTTTAGGTATTCTCCATTCATTTCAATTATATTAATCAGGTATGAAAAAAATCAGTAACATTTTTGAATTCGGTGTTCAATATTGATGACAAAATCACCACCATATCATTTGACTGACAATACTTGGTTTTGACACGTGTCACTTTTATTTTTATACTTTATATAGGATGGTTGTATGATTTCACAGACAACTATGACATTTCATTTTATCTGGCTGGCAGTTTACTAATTTCTACCCTGTCTCTACTGTGTATTGATTGCCACCTTAGAAGTAAATGTGATAATGATCAAGAGAAGAAATCTGTAGATGTTGATGTAAAGACACAGATACAGACACAGATACCAGTACATTGATTGGGATAAAAAATAAGTTGGCCCCAAGGTGTGGGTGTAATAGCAACCTTTCCAGAGATGCTAATCACCTATTTGAGTGACATCTACAGAGGGTAACGTCATACTCGCCTGGAGCCCGCTACCGTGGTCAGAGTGTCTTGTTCTGTAGGGTGAATCCTGATTGCAAGATACATGTAAAACGCGATGGGTCATATCTGAACATTACTTGTGATTATAACTATTACGATTATATGCATGAAATCTCTACTTTAAATGATGTGCATTGCTACTTCCGAATAAGGGCAAGTGCACAATTAAATTAAAATTTTCTGTTATCTTGCATGTTTTATGAATCTATTCACATTTAAATGCAGCACTTTTTTTTTGCAATGAGACATTTATTTTTATACTAAAATATCTGAATTACTTTGAATAAAGCTGGAAATTATGTCCCTTAAAATAATTAAACAAATAAGGCACCAATGTTTTTGTAAGATATTTACATCTTTTAAGGACATTCGGTAGACTGATTCCCCACTGTTGGTTCAACCCCAAAACTTGTTTGTATTCAAAATTAATTATGACAATGCATATTTATATTGAAACAAACTATGATAAAGGGAATTATATATATCAAAGGGAAAGGTCACCAGAGTTCAACTATGTTTGTCAATTGATAATGATCTCTGCAATTCATCTATTATTTGTGAATATGTGGGGATCAGAAAATTTTTGACTCGCAATAATGGTTACAAAATATAATATGACTTACACAAAACTTCAGTCACTTTTCTTTATTTTTGACTCCCATGTGCGAAGCACAAAATGGGAGTCTTTGCAGTTAGTGTGTCTGTA